TTTAACTGTTTCATTTGAACCATTTAAGTTTTTCTTCACTTCTTTCAGGATATTCTCAGCTTGATCTGGGTTTTTAATGGGATTAAAATGTCATGTTTTCTTGTTTTTGGGGGAGTTGCCCAATGTTCTTTCCCGATGTCGTCACTTTGATGTGGGGTGGTTTTGAGGCCAAAATTTACCAAGCTAGAAGAAATCAGGATTTAGTTCGATTCTTATAAGACTTCTATCGTCTTTACAGTCACGTGTCTTCTAAAAAGAGTGAAACTTTCAATGACCTACACGTTTCGGTTTGGCAGATACGATTTTCTGAGAAAGCGCTGTTGCGTAAGCATAAAAATATTGAGTCTTTAATATACCAAGCTCTACTTTCGAATAGGCTAATTTTTAAAACAGAATGAACAGTTGCGTAAAAAACCATAATGGATTTGAAACCGCAATTTGCCAATTTTGAGAACCAAATTTAGCAAGCTGAAAAAATCAGGATTCTGCACGATTTTATGAGACTTCCAGCATGTGTAGTGCCAAGTTTATCCTTAGATAGTGAAACTTTTAAACTTCTGTAGGATTTAGTTTGGAAGATACATTTTTTTGTGAGAAAGTGCTGTTGATTAAAATGACCGAGCTTTACTTAGCTCGCACAAATTAGTTTTTCGGGCTCTTATTATGAAACTGCCAGCGTCTATACGGTAAAGTGTCTTCTAAAGATTTTGAGAATTGAAGACATCTACATTCGTTAGTTAAAATAATGCGAAGTCTTTATGAGAAAGCCGAGCTAGTTAAAAATAAAAAGAAAAATTCCGCATATCTACTCAACTCTACGATTATTACGAAATTTTCAGCGATTGTATAGCCATGTGTCCTTTAAAAGAACCAAAAAAATTTCCAATTGCTCCTTGATTTAGTCTACACAATGAAAATTTTTGAACGAGAAAGAGCATTTGTGTTAAAAAAGTCCATTATAAGTCCACAGCCATTTTTGAGACCTGATCCTGAAAAATATCAGGATTTGATGACAGTTTTATGAAACTTTCAGCATCTTTAGAGTAAATTGTAATCTAATGATAGTGAAACGTCCAAATTACTACACGCTCTAGTTTCGAAGATATGATTTTTTTTTTATGAGGGAGCCACACTTTGTTGAAAATATATCTTTTGCAACCCATATTTACTCAGCCTAAAAAAATCAGTACTTGGGGCAATATTGCTCGAACTTTCAGCATTTATATGGTCAGCTATTGTGGAAATATCGAAAGATTTCAAATTTTTAAATGCTTCAGTTTGGAACTTAAGGATTTAGACATTTAAATGATTTCACGCTTTACTTTGGGAAAACAGTTTGATTATGAGAAACAGAAGTTGTGCAAAACTAAAAATGATTAGACCATGATAATTATTAGCTTTGTCGCAATTCTTATTAAACTTTCAATGTTTGTTTAGTCAAGTGTGTTCAAACGATTGTGAAATTTCCGGATTACGCCCTGATTTAGTTTGGAAGATGCGAATTTTTGAGGAAAAGACAGCAGGTGCGTTCAAAAATTTCTTATGAGACAACAAGTTTTCAAGCTAGAAGAAATCAGGATTGAGTAAGATTCTTATAAGACTTCTAGCGTTTTTATACTCACGTATCTTCAAAGAGAGTGAAACTTTCGATGTCCTACACGATTCGGTTTGGTAGATACGATTTTCTGAGAAAGCGCTATTGCGTAAGCATAAAAATGTTGAGTCTCTAATATACCAAGTTGTCAAAAATCAGTAGTTTATGCGATTTTTATCAAACTTTAAGCATCCTCACCAGCACATGGCTGCTAAAGATAGATAAATTTTCAACTTTTTACATGTCTTAGTTTGGAAAATCCTATTTGTTTATGAGAAGCGCAGCTGGGTCACATCAAAAACTTTGGGACCGGTTTTTACAAAGCTTGCAAAACTCAGTTTTGGAGGCGATTGCTATTAAACTTTCAGAGTTTGTACAGTACAGTGAAGTTTACTATAAAAATGATGAAAAATCCTAATTGCTTCTGACTGTAGTTTGGAAGAGACTAATTTTTAAAACACAGCGAACAGGTGCGTAAAAAAATCATAATGGAACCGCAATTTGCCAATTGTGAGACCCAAACTTATCAAGCTGAAAAAATCAGGATTCTGCAAGATTTCATGAGTTCCAGCATGTGTAGAGCCAAGTTTATCCTAAAGATAGTGAGACCTTTAAACTTCTGTAGTATTTACCTCGGAAGATACAATCTTTTGTGAGAAAGTGTCGTTGGGTAAAATAACTTTACTAAGCTGCCTAAAATTAGTTTTTAGGGATTTTCTTTTTTTTATGAGAGAGCCGCACTTTGTGTAATCATTGGGAAAATTTTAAATTTTTAAATGCTTCTGTTTAGAACTTACGATTTTTTTTGAGTGAACGCCGTAGGTTGAAATAGTTTTGAAATCAATTTTTCCTAAGCAGGAAAAGTTCCTTATCAATTTTGATCAGCTTTCCGTGAGCATTTATATAGTCAACAATCTTTTAAAGATGACAAAACAAATTCCAAATTGCTGCTTGTTGTAGTTTTTAGAAAGTGCGAATTTTTACTTGCTGCGTAAGAAATCCCATGCGGGGACCGCAATTTACCAATTTCGAGACCCATAATTGCCACGGTGGAAAAAATCAGGATTTAGTGCAATTTTTATAAAACTATCAGCATCCTTAGACTTAATTGTATGGGAAAAAATGGAAAACTGTCAGTTTACTACTCCGTTAATGGAGAAGATATGAATTGCTTATGCATAAGCGCGGTTGGGTAAAAATATCAGTTTTGGGACTGATATTTAGTAAGCTGTGAAATATCAGTAATAGTGAGATTTTTATAGAACTCGAAATATTTGTAAAACCAAGTGCCGTTTAAAGACAGTGAGCATTTAGACTCGTTTCATGCTTTATTTTGGAAGAAACGATTTGTTTATGACAAACGCAGTTGTTTCAAAACAAAAAGTTTTCAGACCGGAATTCAATAAGCTGGCAAAAATTAGTGTTAAACGTGATTCATATGAAACTTCCCACATGCGTACACTCGAGTGTCGGCGAAAGATAGTGAAAATTTCAAATTGTTCCTGCCTTTAGTGAAGGAAATACTATTTTTTTGTAGACAAAAAGCATTTTCAAACCCATACATTTATCAAGCTGGCAAAAATTAGGGTTTCAAGCGAATTGCACGAGACTTTCAGCATCTTTAGGGTCAAGTGTCCGCTAAATATGGTTAAAGTTTTGGAATGCCACTGGCTTCGGTTTGGGGGTACGAATTTTGAAAGGAGGGAGCACAGTTGAACAAAAACATCCATTCTAAAAGAGATATTTTTTAGCCCGGAAAAAATCCCGGTTCAGGGACTTTCAGTGTCTGTGAACTCAAGTGTCTTTAAAAGATGGTGTACATTTCAAGTTGCTACGTGCTCCAACTCCTGAATCTGAATATTTAATAATTTATTGAAACATTCCTCAGGTGTATGTGCTACAGCTCTACAGGAGTTCGCCTCTTTGGCGAAGCCAAATACAAGGAAGCCTCCAACATGACATGTGGTAAGACCTTACAACTCTGCCCAGCTTCTTAAACAAGCGTACAGCGTGTAGCAGGAAAAAGGCCGATCTTGAAGCAGCTGGACGCAATGCTGTGACCTTGCACTGCGACAGCCTGGGCAACTTTGAGCGGCTGCAATGCGACATCGAAAAGAGCCTTTGTTGGTGCGCTGAACCCTTCACTGGAGATCTAACAGCGCCGATCGTTCCTTTCGCTGCCATGGCAAAACTGCCGTGCTGTAAGTAGCTTTTCTGGATAAGCGAGCTTTTAAGGGCTGGTTTCCAGATTCACAAGGCACCGTGGGCAGCCAGTACCTCAGACAATGTGAGAGCAAGAAATTTGCCACCACCATGGTCACTTCCAAGCTGAAAGGTCATGGAGTGGTGACAGTGCAAAGCGACTCATTGCTGTGCCAATCTGATGGTAGCTATGGAGCCTACATGGTACAATCTGGAATGTAAGTGAGAGGGTTTTTGTGGGAGGAAACTGAATGTGAGTGAGGGCTGGTTCTAGAGCCTACTGCACCTGGAGGGACAACAGCAAAATTGGAACCTGGCAGGCGAATCTCGCGGGGATGACAGATAAATTAACCTGCAGTAAGTGAATTTTGCTTTTTTCCGAAAATTCTTTACTTCCACAGCTTTCCAGTCCCCATTCAAGAATCAACCTTAATTTTACTGTCCCTGCCTAATTGCTCGGGTGGCTGATTTCAGATTGTGCCCGAGATTACAAGAGGTATGAACACTCGCTAAGTTGTGAAGGAACTGGAAACTACGTCCTGCTGCAGCAAGTTATCGATGAAAATAATCAAAAGCAGTACTACTGTGTGGACGACTATGGATTTGCGAAAAGTGGCCTGCTCAGCGACTCCACCACTGATTGCAGTCTATTTTACTAATAATGGTTTGCCTAATAAAGGATGATATTGTAACTTCAACCACTTTTGGGCCACTTTCTTATTCTAGGGTTGTTTGGCTTTATTGCTCATTTATCCAAAGCCACAGAAGGAATCAGAATGCCGGTATTAAACCTGATGAACAGCAAATGAAAGTGACTTCGTGTCTTTGGTAAAGTTTCATAATTTTTAGAACCGTTCTAAGGTTTGACTTTTTTAACCATTTGTGCACTGACTTCCTCTCCTGCTCATTTCTCAGTATCCAGCAAATGGGGGAAACTTACAATTTCACGTACCATTGAGGAGGCATGGGTTCAGGCCTGGGGTGAATTAAGTTCAATTTAGCCCGAGCGTTTATTTATCATGACTGGGTGAACCTTCCGACGATTTGCGCCCATTAACCATTCTTGCATTTACTTCGTCTATTGCTCATTTCTGAGCACCCCGAAGGCATATAAAACTTCCGACTGCATGAATCTATTGATAAAGCTTTGGTTCAGACCTGAGGTTAAGTTGGTCCCCGTTCAACTAAGTTCATTCTTGCCCTGCCTTCCTCTGCATCAATCGATAGAGAAAGCCTTACTTAAACCTTCGTGGGATTTCGGTTCCCGTAAAGCCAAGGCTTTACATTTCATTATTCAATCAAGTTTTTCTAGATTTTTGCTGTTCAACCGTTCTTCCATCGTCCTCTCTTGCTGATTTCCCAATATCCAAGACAGATATCGGATTGCATCAGTGAATATAAAAAGCCCTAGTCGAACTTTTCCAGCAGCCCCAGCTTCAGTCAAACGTAATTTACCAGTGAATCTAAAGTTGTCGGGATTTTTTGTTTACTACATCGTTCATTAAAGCAGCTCTAGGCCGCCGATCAGGGCAAGGCTTTGTCATCCTCCATGGGGTGCCACATCGGAGCGAAAAGACTTTATCAGGCACCATAAGAGATTGATTGCGGCCCGATTACGATCTAAAACAAATACACCGGTGATTGTAGACAACTCAATTTAGATGCCCACTTTGTGGCACTGTTGCCTTTCCCTGCTAGTAAACGAAACTTGAAAATCACCTCACATAATGCAGAATGTGTTTTTGAAGCCGACTGGAGGAAGTCGGCCAAGTTGGGCAAGTTTCAATCAGGTGATAAAAAAATGCGATCTTTACAAGCTGAAGAAGATTGATTCCCCCTTTATTCTATCACACGACTCCGCCACAGTGAATTTCAAAGGTTCACCAGGCTGCGGTGGACCCTGAAATAACAGAGAAAAACATTCCAACTAATTTTCAAAATGGTATAATGTAAAAACAGGTGTAGGTGATGTTTTTTATTGAAGCATAAGCGTAAAAATGAAAGGCACACTTTGCCCCACAAAATGCTCCCAAAAGTGAATCTCAAACATCACTAGTTTTTGAGAAAATAAGTTCCAAACTTTGGCCGGCTTAAGCCACCATCAAATTCAATCGCAAATTAAAAAAAATTGAAATCAGCATGGGGATGAAGTAAAATATTTTCACATATACAGCGCACTTTGCCCTACAAAAATTAATCTCCGACTTTACTGGTTACTGAGAAAACAAAGGCCTGCAACAGCGACCAAAAAGTTCAATAGCAAAAAAAAATTTTTAGAGTAGCCTGACGATGACTCAAAATAGAAACTTTACCCGTGTGTAAAACGTGCTTTGCTCTACAAAATGCATCCGACAGACAATCTTCAATTTGCCCAATTTCTGCTAAAATAAATGCCAAACTTAGACTGTATAAAATCCGTAAAATTATGGCGCAAATTAAAAAAAAAATTGAAATTAGCCTGATTATGACTCAAAATCAAAATTTTTCCCGTATGTAAAACGTGCTTTGCTCTGCAAAATGCATCCGGCAGACAATCTTCAACTTGCCCAGTTTCTGCGAACATAAATGCCACACTTAGACTGTGTAAAACCGTAAAATTATGGCGCAAATTGGAAAAAAATTGAAATTAGTCTGATGATGACTCAAAATCGAAACTTTTCCCATATGTAAAACGAGCTTTGCTGTAAAAAATCCATCCGACAGACAATCTTCAACTTGCCCAGCTTCTGCGAAAATAAATGCCAACCTTAGACTGTATAAAAACCGTAAAATTATGGCGCGAATTAGAAAAAAATTGAAATTAGCCTGAGGATGACTCAAAATCGAAACTTTTCCCATATGTAAAACGAGCGGTGCTGTAAAAAAATGCATCCGACAGATAATCTTCAACTTGCCCAGTTTCTGCGAAAATAAATGCCAATCTTAGACTGTATAAAAACCGTAAAATTATGGCGCAAATTGGAAAAAAATTGAAATTAGCCTGATGATGACTCAAAATCGAAACTTTTTCCATATGTAAAACGAGCTTTGCTGTAAAAAATGCATCCGGCAGACAATCTTCAACTGGCGCAGTTGCTGCGAAAATAAATGCCAAACTTAGACTGTATAAAACCGTAAAATTTTGGCGCAAATTTAAAAACGATTGAAATTAGCCTGATGATGACTCAAAATCGAAACTTTCCCTTATGCAAAACGCGCTTGGCTCTACAAAATGCATCTGACAGACAATCTTCAACTTGCCTAGTTTCTGCGAAAATAAATGCCAACCTTAGACTCTATAAAACCGTAAAATTATGGCGCAAATTGGAAAAAAATTGAAATTAGCCTGATGATGACTCAAAATCGAAGCTTTTCCCATATGTAAAACGAGCTTTGCTGTCAAAAATGCATCCGGCAGACAATCTTCAACTTGCCCAGTTGCTGCGAAAATAAATGCCAAACTTAGACTGTATAAAAACCGTAAAAGTATTGCGCAAATTAAAAAAAAAATTAAAATTAAACCTGATGAACCTGATGACTCAAAATCGAAAATTTACTATTAATTAATTTAATACCTAATAAAATCAATACAAAAAGACCCTTTAGCTTAACTGGTTTCTGAAGAACTAACTGCAGTGACAAACTTAAAATACAATCAAAATTTGGAAAAATTAACAAAATTGCCTGAAGATGTTTCAAAATCGAAACGCTTCAGATATACAGAATGGACTTTGCCATTTAAACGTGACACAAAGTGATGCTCTAACTCTGCAAGTTCTTGAGAAAATGAATATCAAACTACCACCTGCTTAAATAGTCTTCAAAATTGTTCAAAAATTGCCTGATCTTGACTGAATATTGATCGAAACTTTTGGCTCTTAGAGAACCGATGTTGCCTGAGAAATATCATACAAAGAAATGTTTTTCCTTCTTTAGTTCCTGAACAAACAAATACGAAACTCCATACTGCAAAAACAACCTCTGAACTCAAAGGTTATTTTGAAAAATCCTAAAAAATTGCTTGATGATGACTGAAAATCGAAACTTTTTTCAGCTATAGAACACCCCTTGCACTATAAACGCGAAACATAAGAGACTATTAACATCGAGCAAAAAAATGTCAATCAGCCACCTGCTTGAATAGCCACGAAAATAACATGCACTTTTTAAAAATTCCTGGAAATTGCCTGGTGAAACTTTCGAAAGGCACAGAACATACTTTGCATCAGAAAACTCATCCAAAGGAAATGTCTTTCTTCCTTTAGTTCCTGAGCAAATAAATGACAAACTCCGGTCCGCAAAAACCGTACGTAACATCAAACCACCTCCTTAAACAAACGCAATTTTAAAAAATCATACAATATTTCCTGATGATGAGTGAAAGTCGAAATTCTCCACCTCTAGAACGCACCTTCTGTCACAAACGTAAAACAATAGTGATTCTCTAGCTTTCCAAGATTTTGAGCCAAAAAAATTCAAACTACCACCTGCTTAAATATCCGCGAAAACAACATGCAATTTTTGAAAATTCCTAAGAATTGCCTGATGATGTCTAAAATTCGAAACGGATGACACTTACAGAACAGATTTTGGCCAACAAAATCGATTCCATACTCCGGTCTGGAAAAAAATATCATAAAACAAACGCAATTTTGAAAAATTGTACTAAATTTCCTGAACATGAGTCAAAATCCAAATTTTTGCTTTGACCGATCATACTTTGCAACAGAAAATCCGCACAAAAGAGACTTTTGCCTTCTCGAGTTCCTAAACAAATAATTGCCAAACTGCGGCCTGCAAAGACAACCTTGTAATACAAACGCAATTTTGATAAATTATGCAAAATTCCCTGATAATGTTTGAAAATCGCAACTTTTTCCACCTCTATAACGCCCCTTGCCTTACAAATCCGATGCAAAAGTAAATCTCTGACTTTCCAAGATTTTGAGCAAAAAATTTTCAAACTAACACCATCGTATATATCTGCGAAAAAAACATGCACTTTTGAAAAATTCCTGAAAATTGCTTGATGATGTCTAAAATTCAAACTGTTGAATCTTACAAAACCGATTTAGGTGAAAAAAATCGTTATAAAAACAACTCTTTCACTTAGTTAGTGTCTTAGTAAATCAATGCCAAACTCCGGTCTGCAAAAACAATACCATAAAACAATCGCAATTTTGAAAAATCATACAAAATTTCCTGACGGTGAGTCAAAATCCAATCTTTTCGCTTTGACTGTCCATACTTTGCGACAGAAAATCCTTACAAAAGAACCTTTTAAATCGTACAAAATTCCCTGATTACGACTGAAAGTCGAAAGTTTCTCCACCTCTAGAGCGCACCTTGCCTCATAATTTTAAAGAATAGTGACTGTTTAACTTTCCAAGATCTTCAGCAAAAAAATTTAAGCTACCACCTGCTTAAAAATCGGCGAAAACAATATGCACTTTTCAAAAATTCCTGAAAATTGCCTGATGATGTCTCAAATTCGAAACTTTTGAGACTTACAGAACATATTTTGGCCAACAAACTCTTTCACTTAGTTAGTGGCTTATTAAATCAATGCCAAACTCCGGTCTGCAAAAACAATTTCGTAAAACAAACGCAATTTTGAAAAATCATACAAATGAATGACCATGAGTCAAAGTTTCAACTTTTCGCTTTGACAGACCAGAATTTGCGACAGAAAAATCCGTACAAAAGAGACTTTTACCTT